TTGTTAAACTGTTCTTATCTCAACCCATGAAGTTTTTTTTAAAAAAAAATTTCCTCCCCATCCCACAGGGAGAGGGCAGGAGTGAGCGAGCGGCTGAGTGGTGTTCAGTTGCTGACTGGGGTTAAACCATGACACAAGGTCAATCAAGTTCTTCACAACAGTTAATTCTTCTCCTCAGAGGACAACATGTCTTAAAAGAAAGCAAAGCTTCAGCTTTGCTGTTAATCAGCAGCCTGCACCAGCAGCAGAATGGTGCTACCCAAAAGGAGGAAGGACTCTGCAGAGCGAGGGCAGGGAGAGAACACAGCGAATTCCCTGCATACATTGGCTGCCATGCAAGGGAGATGTTTTTCTCTTGGAGGCTCTTGGGAGATGTTCTGCTCTGAAATGCAGCCAGCACAGCTGACCCCTACAGCTACCGAGGGAGCGAAAGGACATGGGACCTCCCTGCTGACTCCTCTCACCCTGTCCACACGTGGAATGACAGCATGTAGTCTAGTGGAAGAGGAGGTTAGTAAAGACTGGACCAGTAAAATGGCACACATCAGACATCTAACGAAGATATTAATACAGAAAACATGTCCAAGATTTTCTCCAATCAGCAGAGTCCGCAGGAACAGAAAGAAAGAAAATAGTTGGCATTTACTTGACGCTTTTACTATATTGTCATGTCAGTAAACTTCAGTTGTGCTGTTCAGATCAATACTCTTGACCTTCCTCATGGTTTTAGCGATTTTTTGAGCAGTTAACCCTACTTTCAGAGCTGGCTTTTCAATTTAGGGGACAACTTTGGAGGAAATAGGACAATGAAAAATATATGTGTAATACTAACCAGAGAAAAGTTAACCTGAGTTTATCTCTTCAAGGAAAAGAAAACACAGATAGTTCTTAGTTACCTGGCAATGCTAATCCTCTTTAGACAATGCTATGTGGATCGAAAATACAAGCCCTGATCAAATGTAACATCCTAAATAAGATTAAACCCTTCTACCTGGCTTTAAAAGTACTCTACAGTTTCATATGTAGAGAAAATCTGATTTTTTCATTAATAATGTATAAACAGTACTAACCCTTCTCCATCTCGTGAAGATTTGAACTTGCTCCATACTTATACTCCTTCTCTTGTGCTGCTGTGAACTTTTAAAAAGAATTGTTAATAGTGAGGGTTCTGATGGATCAGCACCTCAGGTTAAACGAGGAACATTCAGTTTCTGTATTACATAAAGGAGTCACTGCACTGTACCACAAATCAGTTTGAGATACAAAAGTCCTGAGAAATACTGTATGTACCTGGCTGACTTCTATGGGCAAAATATCTAAAAGATTCTTCATATGTATAGTGGCACAAAGTTCCTTCTAATATTGGAGTGTCCTGCACATAACATCTGGGCGCTGCCTGCAGAATCTGATCTTAAATGTTAATGTTTACCTTACATACTGTATGTGAGGCACCAGCTTAGGTGTCAATCAAACCATCTAAATTATGGAGCTGTAAGGGCTCTCTGTCTGAACCACTTAACTAGAAGCTGTTCTTTCTGGATTCCTTATATAAACCGTGGCAGACAAGAAGCTTCCACAGAAGTTAATTTAGTGAAGTTAAATTCAGTTTCTAACTGTTGTGGACATTTCTTCTCCACCTCAAGTGAATGGTGCAAATAGTAGGTTTGAAAAAAAAAAAAAGAAAAAGAAAAACAAGTCTCTTAAAAAAGTTACCTCTTCAAATCCAAGGAGCTGGTTCTCTCTCCAGTCTGATTGTTTCACAGAACTGATGTCCCTGAGGGATGCAAATACAGAGTTCTCTGGTAAGATACTTTCTTTCTGAATTAAAATCATTAATGGTGACCTTTTTGTCTTCAATCTTTATTTTATCTAAAAGGCTTCTCACTGTTGGGATAATTGGACTTATTTCTCCAAAAGTCTGTTTTTCACAAACTACTTCTGTGGAAATGCAACATGTAACATGACAGCGAACAGAAGATAGTGCTGCCCTCTAAAATGGGAGATTTCTGTAAAATCTTTTAAAATTATCAAAGCCTTTGATAAAAATATCTTTTGTAAAACATGGAGCACTAACATACGCTAACTTTAGCCCAGGGAAGACAATAACTTCCTCTGTAGTCAGTGAAAGGAGGCAGAGTGTTTAAGATGGCAAGTCAGAGCAACAGCTTAACTTCAGGATCTCAGGACTGTTCCATGAAGCAATCTTTCTCTGCACTTATTATAGGCAGATGAATATATATAATATATAAAGGGCTTACCTGTGCATAAGCTTATTCACAGTATTCGCTACTATTTTCACTGTGAAAATGGTATCCTCAGTAAAACTATTTAGAATTTTGTCTTGCTTAGCAGGACTTCTCCATCTCAGCAAGGTCTCTGCAGTTATCATTAGGTAACAGAGTGATAATTTCTATGGCACTCACCTTTCTATTCCTGAATAGTTCTGTACATTCTCCTTTAAGTTAATCTGCTGATCATGGTGATAAACAAATGCCTCTGAAACAAAAAAATAAACCTTGATTTTCAAATGCAATAGCCAAAATGCTTCTGTCAACTTTAAAAAATACTGAAATAATTGGATTTAAAATTAAATTACAGCATTCTGAAAACTCATGACATGTTTTCAGTCAAGGCAGACACAAATCTGGTTGTAAAAACATGTCTTTAAAAGAAGAATAAAACCCAGAATACATGTCCTTAAAATACTGACACGCACCAATTTCTTCAAGGTTTGCTGGTTTTTCTTTCTTTACAGAGGGTATGAAGTACTGCTCTCCTTCATGACAGTCCTGCAGTTGGATTTTATGAAGTCCACTGGTTTTTTGGTAGCTTGCACTTGAGGCATTGTTACTTTTATGTAAAACCTGGTCTGGAGCTGTGAAAATGCTTTCAAGGTGTCTGTCTACAGAACTTGTTTTTTCACTGATTGCAGGATATGCCTCTCTGGTATCATAAGGATAATTTCTGTTGGTCATTTGATTTCTATCATCAGGGTCAACGAAAAAAATGGTAGCACTGCTTTGGTTAACAAAAGGATTAAAATGCTTTGTGGAAGGATTATTACGGATTGGTTGTCTCTCATCTTCGAACAGGGCCAGAATGGAAAAATCGTGTCCATCTTGGGGAGCATCCAGTTCTGCAGCTTCTTTCACAACATCAAACAATGATTCTTTTATTAGTTCTCTGTTTTCTGGTCCGTTACTGGTCATTATCACTGGATTTTTCTTGGCAGAAGTCATATAGTCTAGGCTGGGGGTTGGGGGTGAGGTAGATGGAGGGTAGAAAAGAAAAAAACAGTTTGCTCAGTACATAGATAAGCATAATACTAACTGCTAAACCAACAAATTATAATAACTTGGTTATCAAAATCTCACAGAATTTACATTTGCTTTTGTCCCACGTGTACAATATTTCAAATGAAAAAGTGTCTTATATTGCATTTCTACTTTAAGGTAAGATTGATACAAAAGGCATTGTGTTTCACAGTATCTCCATACAAAGACATGGAGCGCACCCTCCTCAGTAGGGAACTGTGATTTATAAAACCAGCCACAGTATGTCACTGCTGCTCCACCAGCTGACCAAAAAAGGCCACTTTGGAAGAAAAATAAAGGAATAAGGAAAAAGAGGGAGGCAGCTTCTTCTGTTTACAAAAATATTTTGTTCTTCAAGACTACAGTTCTGCCCTGTATTGAAAACGCATAATAAACTCTGTGTACTGCTTAATTCCTGGAATCTTTAGCAAGTGCCTTGCTTTTTTACACTTGAGGTCAGTAACCCTAATTCAGCACAGAATTTTCCTATTCCACTGTCAGGAGGCCAATCACTCCATATTTCCCTATCCCATTTCTGACAGTAATGGCTTTGAAGATGGCATCGTTAGCATGAGGGCTATCATGCTTTCACTTACTTGGCTCTTAATCTAACATTTTGGTCTGCTGACCAACCTTTCAGAAAATCCAAAGAAAAAGTTGAGAGGCTTCTGAAGCTCAGAGAACTGGCAAAGACAGCCATTCTAAAAAAAATTCCCTTTCTTTAAAAAACATTGAGCAGTGCCATCGATGGAACTTGAAAACTGAAACATAAAAAACTCTTATTGGAGAAAAATCCTGTAATGTTTTGATCAGCAAATCCTTGGAATAGGATAAAGATCCTAGAGAACTTAAATGAGAAAGTAGTGTCCTCTACTTCCAGAAACTTCCCCAGAACCGTGTTAAAAGGCTAAACACACTGGAGTTTGTTTCTGAAGAAACTTGGACAGATCACTGTGAGGCAGGTAAAACCATTCTGTGAAGGAATTCAGAGGCTCCTTCTTCACTGAACATTTTGTAATGCTAAGTAAAAGTTAATAGTAGGTGAGGAAATATGACATCTGAAATTTTTAGTTAATATTTAATGATCTTGAGGTGCCCCAGCTCTCAGATGTATGCACATTGATTACATCATCAGCATGTTACAATTACACAAAGCAAAAGAAACTCCTTTCCCAGGAGACCTGCCAGCTCTTGAGGTATAAGAATTTATGGCTACAATGGATGAAAGCAAACCAAGGATGATGCAAATAAATGGATTTGAAAAACAGTTGGGAAGGAGAGGTTGTTAGCAAGGCACGAAAGGGCAGAGGACATACAGATGATTGCAGGCCTGAGGGCCTGCGGAGATACGAAAGAGGAGATGTAAGTGACATAAGGTTATGTAGGGCTTTCATATAAAGATATGCATTAAGAATTCACCAAGATATATAGCAAGGTGAATGTTATTCTCATTCTAGATTTCACTGGAGAAAGGTGGGAGAAGCTAGGAGAAGAGAGAAAGAGAAAGTAAAGGTAACTAAGACTGGAAGCTGATGTGATCATCTAGTTATCATGTGGTCAGTGAGCTCATCAGTGACTTGACTTCCCAGGCAAACAGGGCATAGGTACTTACGGAGCAGCAAAATAATACATGGCCTTTTCATGGCTCTACCCAGCCAAAGCCAGAGACTGACAGGAACTTTTGACCAGATGATAAAGTTACACAATAAAAAGATTAGCCTTGTAAGACCCCTAAATCCAAGGCAAGAGTGCCTGGAAAGAAACTGAAATAAAATGTTTGGTACAAATGAGTCTAGCCTTAAATCTTTTGTGATCAAAAATATTTTTAAATGACACATACAAAAAGAAATACATTCTTGATTTCTATAATTTTTTTTTTAATTGAAGCTTATATTCACAATTAAAAAAAGGAAACAAACCCCCAGCTGTAGCCAGAACACATATGAAAGGGAAGCAAAGAAAATGCTTTGTTCCTGGAATTCCAAGTGCAAACAATGTAGGTGGAGACCTTGCTCAATTGCTACCGCATCAAGGTCATCAGAAAAGCACTTGCAACAGTGACCAGAGCTAATGAGAGCTGGGGCAGCTACTCTCCCTACGACCTGTTAGTAAATCTCACTCAGGCTGCATTCAGTAACACCGTCATGTTTGTGCCATTGCAAAAAACAGATCACGGTTCCAAGCACCTACCTAAAATTCATGTTTTTCTGCCTTTCAGTAAATTTAAATATCTTGGTATGTTTAGTCTTTCCATTTAATTTCAATTTATATTTGAAAAGCACCAAAAGCCAGTGAATAAATCAAGCAGCAATAAGCTTCAGATTATCTTAGAATTTTTCTTATTTAAACTTGACTGTTATTTCACTCTTTAATGTAAAATCACTGCTTACCTATGCAATGGCTTAAACAGTTCCTGAGGCACTGTATCAGACTTCCTGAATATACACTGGCTTGCAGGTTTTTTAATCCAAGGATCTTGATCAGAACTATTTCCTGGCTGAGTAAACAGTAGAAGCTGTCAAACTCTGAATATATATAAAAGCCATAATGTTTAAAACTTTGAAGTTGGATTTGCAAACAATATACATATTTTCCCACTATATTTATTTTTTTAAATTTTATTTTTAAAATAGAAATCCAAACGTCCTCATAGCCCAACTGAATTCTGTATAACCCATACTCTTCTATATTTGTGTATCACACGTAATACGCAAAATGTCCTTTTAGCACCCTGTCCTCCCACAGTATGAACAAGTTTGACAGATTGGAACAAGCTGAAGTTGCACTGAAGATCACATAGTCATAGAAAACAGTTCTCGGGAAGGGACCTTAAGAGGTCCAACCTGCTCAAAGAAGGGCCAGCTTCAAGGTTGGGCCAGATTGTTCAGCATTTTCGGGACTGAGATTCCACAACCTATTTCAATGGCCTCTTTTTTCTGGTGCTTTGCTACACTTATATTTTTTTTTATATTTTAATATTTTTTCCTATACAAACAGAATTTCCATTATTGAAACCTGTGACTTTTATTTCTTACTGCATACCCTGGCTCTGTCCTGTCTGTAACTGCGGAAGACAGCAGTAAGTTCACCCACATCCTTCTCTTTCCCAGGCTATGAAAGTCCTCTTCACTCAGTCTCTCCATGGTCACCACGTGCTCCAACCCCCTAACGATTTTTGTTGCCCTTCATTGGCCTAGCTAAAGTTTGTCAATCTCTCTCTTGTACTGAGGGTCCTAAAACTGGACACGGTATTGTGGGTGTGTTCTCACATACGCTGCTCAGAGGGAAATAATAATTTGCCTTGGATTTCTGGGTGTGCTCTTTCTAACACAGCCCTCTAAACAGTTGGCCTTTGCTGCTGTGTGGGCACTTCTCCACAACTCAGGTACTTCTCTGCAAAATTGCTGCCTACTCAGTCACTCCTCACCTGCACTGACCCGGATCCCTGCCATTTCGGACCTGTCGCCAATTAGAGTTTAGCTGACAGACAACTACTTTGAGCATGACGGGAAGAGTTATTTTTATACTCATCTTATTGCCCACTCGCCCTGATTCATACCTCTCTGCTTTGGCTACTAAGATGACATGGGAAACTTTGTCAAAATCAAGGTCAATAATACCTGCTGCTCTCCCTTATTCATAGAGCTAATTAGTAGATCATTCAACTCATCACAGAAGGCCTTTATCAGGGCCTTGATAAATCTATGCTGGCTGTTCCCAGTCATCTTCTTGTTCTTCATATGCCTTGGAACTGCCTCTGGGAGGTCTAGCTCCATAAACCTTTGAGGGGAAGTGTTATAGAAGGACCCTCTGGCCAAGTTATGAGGTTCAGACTGGACCTCCTTGCTTTTTAAACTTCCATACAGAGAGGAGTCTAGGTGTGGATTAATCCAGTCTTAGTCCCCAATTGTAAAGAAGTTTGGACTGGTTTATTTCAGCTTGAGTTGGGACCCTCTGAGAGGGACCCTAAACAAAGAAATCCTTCAGCAATCCAAGTTCACCTCTCCTCACAATATGATTCAGTCCAATAGTAATATTTGGATCTGAGGTCTTCTTGTTCCTCATTGGATCCGTTCTCTCTCTCCAGGTATGCATTCTTTTCTTTATCTCAAGGATGCAATTTCCATTGATCTTATCTTTCTCAATTAGCATTGGTTTCTAGGCCTTTCTTCAGCCTAAGCTAATTAGTACTTAAGTAATTAAGTCCACAGTCTGGGCCTAAGGCTTCAGTAAATCCAGCTACGCATGCTAAGCAATGTCACTCATAAGCCAAAACAAATTGTAATTCACTGTAATTTTAAGCAAATCCACAATTAATTCTAATATTCTACAACTAAACTATTTTAATCTCGAACAGAGAGAGGCGAGATGATGCTTCCCCAGATCATGCTTATGCTTTTGGAGGTGGGCATAACATTTGGGTATTTCTTGTTACCAAGTAACTTTCCTGGTCACCACAATCTTTCAAAGACGACAGACATCTGTCCTGCAGTGATGTCATCCAACTTGGACACAACCTGTCAAGTTCCAGGTATTTATTTATGTCCAGGTTACTAAGGATCCCCTAACTTGTTCCTTCACTACTGTTTCGTACCCCTCTCCCCAAAACTTTCTACTGAGCTTGAAAGTGTGCCAGAGTGTGCCAGAGAGTGGACCTTGTCAGAAAAGCCTGAAGCAAAGCAAGTCTCCATTGCCTCAGACTTTTCTGTGTCCTTTGTCACTAGGTCTCAACTTTATTTAGTAGGGCAAAACATTTTCCTTGGTTTCCTTTAGCTGATGACACACCTGTAGAAGTTGTTCTTGCTGCCGTTCTCACTCCTTTTGAGTTCCAGCTCTCACCATTTTAAGGCCACCCTTCCGAGCTTGGGGGATGCATTTGCATTCTTCCTGGGTTGCCCATCCTTCCTTCCACATTTCTTTTCAATTTTGAGCTCAGTCAGGAGTTCCCTGATTCAGCCAAACTGGCCTCCAGGACCTACTCATTCTCTTGCACATTGAGGTGGACTGTCCTTGACTGTTTTGAAAACATCCTTCAGGTCATCTTCCTATGAAATTCTGCCTACCCACTCCCTGAGCAGCCCAACATCTCCCCTTCTAAAGCCCCGAAGTACTCCTTCCTCACTTACCTCAAGAGTTTAAAATACCACAGGTGATACACATAGAATTTTTTTTATTATCGTGAATAAATAATATATTTTCTCAAAATAAAGCACATTATATTTACTACTTCTCTAAGGGTGATTCTTTTAAGAAATCCAAAGTTAAAAAAATAGTAACATGCATCAAAACAAGTAACTTTCTATCATTTCTTAAACAGCAGGCTTTTCTCAATCCTTTTAGGAGCATTGAGAATACTGTGCAAACTGTATTACTCGCTGAGACACTGCATGATTACAAATTAGGTCACAGCGTTCACCTGGGATCATATAATACTCAGTTACACCACTAATCATACACTCAAGAAAGCTGTATTTGTTACTGTAATACACTTCAGCTTTTATTTAACCAACTTTACAAGCCAGAAACAAAAGAAAGCCAGTGGTATGTGACTAACTTAGCAATACTGAGAGCTCACCAAACAAAAGCTCACGTTAAGCATTCCATAACAATACAAGAAATGTATTTGCACACAGGGAATAGTCATTGCCACCAGCCTACAAGAAATGCTGATAATTCACAACCATCCTCAATCATTACACTAATTCTACATCCCAAATAAATGACAAAATATTAATCAAACCTGGTTTTGCAGCCTCTCTTCATAGGTCTGTTCCCAAGTGTTGACCATTAGGTTTGGGTTGATATTTTCTTCTGAAAGTTGTGTACAGTTAGAGGACCAAAAACCAGAAGAGGACAATGGACAGGCACCAAAAGCTCTTGCCACGTTGTCTTCATGTTCCATACTAGAATCACCATATGTTAATTCTGTTACTTGTGACAACTAGACAAAACATAGAAAAGAAACATTTTATTTATCTATAATTTGTTGTGATGTAAGCATAAGATTCAAAGTAATAAAACTTTCAGGTAGCTTTTACATCTCTGCATTTATATCACATGCAAGAGAAAATTATCATGTATTCTGATATGCTTTTTTAATGAAAAATATAAGCAAATAAAGGCTTATTGCAGGGAAATATGTAAATACCTACTTAAGTTGAAGCATTTACGCAAATGTTATCCTGAGGAGAGATGGGTACAAATACATTTTTAGCTTTAGATATGCAGGTAAATGATCTGCTGATGTGGATCTTAAGCAGTAAAGTGAAAAGTTTTTCCTCCATTGAGGAGACAGCTCCAGCATGTTGTGCTACCAACAACACTGTCTCAAGCAGATCAGAACACAAAGAGAAATTTGAAGGCAAAACTCATGAAATGTCACCCTATCCACAGGTACATGGAAGTAGTTCCTGTAATTCAGCCCTACGCACTGAAAGCAGCACAAATTTACAGTGGAGTGCAAAAGCCTTGTACATTAATTGCACAAAATCTTTGTACATAAAGCTGTAAGTTTCCAGAGTAGTTGACAATCATGAATTTCATAGCTCCTCCTTCTGCTTAATAAAGTGGGTTTAAGTTCAAATTTACTTAAATTAGAGTATTTAAGTTGATTATTTAATTTGATTATTTAACTTCTGAAGACTTTAAAAACAGTTCTTTACAACATACAGGCCTTGAGCTTTATTTTTTGATCCATACATTACAGTTTTACGTGTGTGCACATTGCATTATCATGTGCTTTGATGAACTGATGTAAATCTGTCCATACAAGTGGAAGTTGAGGAACTTGGCTACCATTTTGATCTGTTATTTCTGATCACACTCAATCTGAAATATGTCCTCTCTGTCTTCAAGAAACAGATGAAGAAGAGTCATAAGAGGAGGCTGACTTAATGTGACATTCAATAAAGTAGTGGCAGCTCACGGTGATTTTGGCTGAAACACATTAGATAGCTAAACTTTTCACCCATACTAAGTAATTCTTCCTGACTCAAAAGAAAGGAACATATAACACTAGAAGAGCATCTGTCTTTCTCACTCTAGGAACCTAAACAGGCTTTGGCAACATGAATGAGCCAAGAAGTTACAGAACAATACTATGCAAGCAAGTTTTTGCCAGCATCTTTTTAGACTGGATCTGAGGCAGAAATTCTTCAGTACAAGGGTGGCAACGCTCTGGAATAGCCTGCCCACAGAAGTTGTGGATGCCCCCTCCCTAGAGATGTTCAAGGCCAGGCTGGGTGAGGCCTTGAGCGACCTGGTCTAGTTGAGAGGTGGCCCTGCCCATGGCAGGAGAGTTGGATTAGATGATCTCTAAGGTCCCTTCCAACCTGGGCCATTCTATGATTTTCCTCAAAGCCTGCTCTGATATGAACAGCAAGAGTCAGTGGATCTGAATTATCAAGTCAATTTGAGTAAGCTAAACTCTCTTCTAACAGATTTGCTAACTTGTCAGGGGGTTTGTTTTGTTATTTTTTAATGCAACAGTGGAAAGGGTCATAAAAATCCCTTAAATTCCATCTAAAGAATATTTTTCGCTGTAACCTCAATGCACTTCCCAATTGTATCCACTGAGACTTGTTCTTCAGTTCCTCTTAGAGAGTGACTTCTGTCTATGCTTTTCATATTTCATCATTCCATGTTTCTGCATCCTGTTTCTAATCTACCTGCTGTTGACCTCAGTCTCTTTCCCATAATCTCTGGCCTTTGTGACTAGCTTAGAGAAGAAGTATTTTGGAAAATGCTTGAAACAAAGTGAGCCTTTCAAGAAATATGTAAGAAATAGCAGGAACGAATATAACATATGACTGCAAAAAGTATGTCAATATAGCCTTAAAGAGGAAGACTTTGCATGTTCCAGTATCCATGAGATTTGGTCACTCTTTGAAAAATCACTTTAAAATAGCCATTGCTGAACATTTTTAGCTCTACATCAGTGAGAACAATAAACTTACTTACATTATGCTGGTATTTTATTTTCTCGGAGAGATGCTGCCTTCTGCTGTCCAATACTTGCTTTTGTAACCTTGTAAAATGAATATAGACAGACTATGAAATGCAAGACATAAGATCTATAAGACTAAAAGCATTCTGAATATTAATTTCAAAATAATTTAAGAATATTTTTCCACACGTCTTAAAAAGGCCTGATTTTTAAGCATTTATGAGCAGCCAGCATGCGAATCAGTGACTTCAGGTTGTGTGAAGTTGGATGGGAAACAGTGTAAGTGAAAAATGCTGTTTGCATAGCCTGCTCTGTCACATAAATGTGTATATACCTGACATGAGTAAAGAAACGTTATTTTTTTTATATCTCTCAGCTTCATGCAGAGTTTTATATTTACTCTCTCACAGTAAGAGTATCACTGGAATGCTAGGAGTGATTGTGAAACTTCTTTGTCTTAGAATGGTATGTTTATGTTTACTTAATACCCCAAATATAAGACCGTCATAAAATATCTTTTCCAGAACTTCATTATATCTTAACTACTGCAAATTTTATACAAGTACCTGTTCTGGACATCATCTAAGTTTAACATATGTTGTATACGAGGTGGTGACATGGGAAGCTCTATGTTGTGTCTCCTAACAGGTATTTTCACACCTTCAGTGATATCAACGTGGACTGGCTTCCTCACATTCTCTACAATGAAAATATTTGGAAAGTAAACATCAGTACCAGACTTGGAGAAAGTTTCAAGCTTCCTGAATTTCCAGTAGAGAACAAAAGTTGTTGTTTTAGGATTGTTAATCCATTTAAAGTCATATTTTTTTGGCTTTCGTTGTTACTAGCAATGCAGGAGCTCTATTCTAAATGGCAATATAGTATAAAATTATTTACGGTCAGTGGCTGTGTGTAGACAGGCTCTGCTGCCCTCCTAAGCCACCTTCTCATCTTCCTGAGCATAGGACAACAAATTCTCCACAGTCTGGCTTATGAATATGTCACAGAACACAAGAATCAATGAATCATAGATTTGTTTAGGTTGAAAAAGACTTTTAAGATCATCAAGTCAAACTATCAACCTAAAACTGCCAAGTCTGCCACTAAACCATGTCCCTAAGCACCTCATCTACATGTAAAGAGTAAGGACTCAGGTGGTAGAGATGGTTTTTTAGCAGCTTAATGACAGATTCTGAGAAAGATACTCTGGGCAGAACTGGCTATTCTAAATGTCCCTCAGAAGCTATGAAAAAGGAAGTGGAATGTAAATGGACCTATTCAATGGCAAAGGGAGAAAGAAATGGACATAGGGTAAAATTAATGTATGGAATGAGGAAGATGCATGCACAAAGTTTTAAAGGTGAAAGTAGGCAGTAGTCAAGGTTATTTGATTCCTCTTATGCCCTGACTTTTTGTCTGATCAGATTTTTCTGTATTTACTTACATTTCTTTGTTTTACAGATAAAACACTTATTTAAGCATTACGTTCTAAGTGGAAGAACAAGAACTAAAATAATAGCAGCAGTAGTTAAGGCCAGTTGATTCTGTTTAAGTGCAAAGTCAGAGCTTTGTAATGTTAAACTCACTGGTGTTGTCTTTTTTGGTTGATATCTGGTTAACAACATACAGATTGAGGAGATCTAAACTGACTGCTGAACTTTTGGGAGATGATACTCCTAGAAGCTTCATCTTTGACTTAAGTTTCTTCTTTTCAAAGAATTCCTAAATTTTTTAAAGGAGAGAATAATTTTTGACAGTAGCTTTAACAACACATTAGCAGCATATATAATTTTTTTTGAAATTAGCATGCAAGACTTAGCAAACAATTCCTAATACCAAAACCACATGATTAAATCTCTCTGTATCTCACACCATCTGCTGTTATTTAGTTTACTTTTATTGCCTGGAAAAAGTCTACAGGTATAATTTGTCATATTCAAAGTAAATCAGTGTTCTCTTGAAGCCAAAACCTTATTCCTTAAACACTCTTGCCTAACACTTGGTGTATGATCGTTAACAATAAAAGACATACCAAAATGCTGCAAGCAAGAAGTAAAAAAATTTTAAAAGTGGGCTTTTTAGGTGGCTTATAAGAGAGTAGGCAAATAAATCAGAAAGTTTACTATAACGTCACAAAGAATTTATCATTCTTCAAATTTTTCTTTCTCAACATAGAAAATAGACTTGTAACAAAAAGAAAAAAAAAGGAAAGAAGAAAAATCTTTAAGACTGGGACTTCAGAAAGGCTTTTTTTTTTTGCAAGGAATAAAGAGATATGAATGACAATTTGAATATATCACTTAGATAATTCCAGAAAATTTAGGAAACAAAAGTCTGCATTTTGTAGGAGACTATTAATCATCCTAAAAACATTAGTATCAAGCACAGCAGATGAATAAATAAAACCAGGAAGATTCTTTATTTTAACCATAAGTATATATAAAACTGAATGTTACGCCAAAACACAAAATAGCATTGGCTTTTCTTCTGAAATGTAATTCTTTTCTTGATTTACATTCTCTTCTTGAGTTACATGTAACTCAAATATCCAACATGTTTTTTGGCAACTATATCCCTTCAGTGCCCCAGATACTTTCTTCCCATCACCTCTAAATTAGTAAATTACTATTAATTTTGTAATAGCAATTGCACAGTTACCACTGTGTTTAGTAATTTAGTAATTTAGTACTAAATTACTAAAAACAATCCTCGGTCTTGGATCCTTTCCTGTTCTCTCTAATCTACTGAAACAAATTACACAGTTGTAATGTAAATTATGTGGCTCAGACCAACAAATCCCTGAGAAAACAGGTATTTTGAAAACTCACAGGTCTCCGGGAGATTGAGAAAGCAATGGGGACAACAAGTTGCTGGTTGCTCCCACGTTCCCTTAGGTAAAGGTTTTTATTTCAGAAACTGCCTCCATATTATCAGCCTGTTTTTCCTCCTCCCTGTATATGCCATCGCAGCTGCTCCGGGCATTGCGAGCTACCAGCTTCAGTGGTGGAGCTTCCCTATACTGTCTCTTTTTTCCCTGCTGCTGAGGAGGAAACTGATTTCTCTATAGTTATAACTATTGTCTCTATAGTTATCACTATCTTCTCTTACTCTTAGTTTGGTTTGTGTTTTTCTCTTTTCTGTTTGAAATGTCTTCTGCTGTGCCAGGGAGAAATTTGATTCTATTATTTTACTTTCAGATTCAAAATGCAAACAAGCTGCCCTACTTTTGCAAATGCCAGAATAAAGTACTTCAATGAGCCTAACATTCTTTTACGTAGCCCAGAAAAATAGCTGTGTATATGTGTGTTAGGCTAGCTGACCACGTGGCTGTACTGCAAGGCTGTAAGTAATCCTGTGTGTCAGCACATACCAACAAAATAGAGTAACAGAAATAATTCAGTAAAACTTAAATTGGGCACATTCATTCATGTTTTCTCCTACTCTCTCCTCTTCCTGCTTTAATTCAGTGTGCTAAACCTAGACAAGACTTCTGACCTAAAGGTTACGTGCAGCCAGGCATACACATTACAACTGTTAACGCTACAGTTTTGAATCTCACTCAAAATGCTTTGAAAGCTTTTCCTAAGTGAATCAACTAAAGCATTTATATAACAATATAAAATCCAAAGTGGTTAGAACTGTTTACCTTCTGCTTTCTCCTTTCCTGCTTTAATATGATTCTGCTCCTGAAATGAAAGATGCAAATAATTATTGGTTTAATTGTAAAAGTAAAATGAGCCATGGCTTGAATTTCTCACCAGTGGTTTAGAGAATTTAGGACATAAATAAAAAGGTTATGTTACGTTACGTCATGTTGGAACAAACCTCCCAACAGTAAAGTCAACATATCTCTGTTGAAGTCACTTTAATCCTGGTTTACTCAGGTCAGGATAGGATCACATTTTGTCTTCAGGCTACCAAATACATTGAACATTTATAAGCAAAAGCTTTTAGACACTTGACCTGTAATGCAACTTTTCATCAATTCTTAATTTCTTAAAACATTGTAAGAAATCTTTGCCAACATATTAATTTCTCCCAATTTTCTTTGTCATGCTGCCACACAGTTACAAAACCATATTAGAAAACAAAGGAGCACACTGCAAGTTTCCACTTTTGGGGACTTTACAGAATATAGTGGGCATTTTGTAAAAACGGTAAGAAAAATGTACTGTCACTACAAGTTTTATGAAGCTGCTATTGTTTGGGCAGTAAAGGAGACAGTTATGCCTTAAACTACACATCTCACTTGTTAAACATAATCTTTAATTAATTCCTACAGGACATGGCACATAAAATTGGAGCACTGGGTCACTGCAGCGGGCAGAATGAGCATGGCTGCAATCCTTGGGTCAGTAAGATTAGGACTTTTTTTGAGAATTAGAAATACAGAGTATCCCCTTGGAATGACTTTTTTTTAATGTGTTTAAACTTGGAACACACTTGCTAAAGACATGCACAGAACATTTACCCTTGCAGTGGGCAGAAGCCCTAGTTTTCCTCAAATACAAATACTTACCTGGGGGATCCTGACAGACAAGTAACAGCAGCAGAAAGCAGCAGAATGATTTGCTGAGTGCAATACTCCTACATGCTGCTTTTTCTTACAGACATAATAGTATGATAGTCAGGCATTTAGAACAAAGTTGGTGTAGTTGGTTTTGGGGTTTTTTGTTTGGTTTTGTGGGGATTTTTTTCAGACTGAAGATCTCCCTTCTCTCTGCTTCACATAGGCAGTTTTCAGAAAACTTATTTTGCTGCGAAGACTTCCAGATGGGTAAGGAATTCTTCTAGTTTGATTCTGCATAGAGTTGGGCTGATGAATACCTTCATCAATGACATAGTGGGATTGAGGGTACCCTCAGAAAGTTTGCAGATGACACCAAGCTGAGCAGTGCAGTTGACACACCAGAGGGACAGGATGTCCTCAAGAGGGACCTGGACAAGCTGAAGAAGTGGGTCTGTGTGAATGTTGTGAGGTTCAACAAGGTCAAGTGCAAGATCCTGCAGCTGGGTCAGGGCAATCCTTGTCATCAATACAGGCTAGGGAACGATGTGATAGAGAGCAACCCAGCAGAGGACGGTGGATGAAAAGCTGGACATGAGCCACCAATGCGAGCTTGCAGCCCAGAAGGACAATTGCATTCTAGACTGCACCAAAAGCAGTGTGACCAGCAGGTCCAGGGGTGATTCTGCTCCTCTGCTCTGCTCTGGTGAGACCTCACCTGGAGTGCTGCGTCCAGCTCTGGGGCCCTCAACACAACAAGGACATGGACCTGTTGGAGCAGGTCCAGAGGAGGCCACAAAAACGATCAAAGGGCTGGAGCACCTCTCCTACAAGGACAGGCTGAGAGAGTTGGGGCTGTTCAGCCTGGGGGAGAGCAGGG